AACATGCATGAAAAATTTCAAATATCCAAGTGATTTTTTGTTTTCATTTTGTATCAAAAGAAAATTGTAAGAGTGCTGCAAATCCGTTGGTGTTCAAGTATGCAACTAATCCATTGTTTCATCTTGTTGCATGAATATAGTTTCGTGATTATTTTTACATTACTTTGGCTAAAATTTATTAATTGATAATTCCAAAAGTTCAATTAGAATGAATTTGAAATTTTAGCTAGTCTTAGTGCAAAATTATGGGAATGGATTAAGAAATGGTTTTGAATAGAAATAAAAAAAATTATATACTATTTGCATGATTCAATTTTCTAGTCAAAGTAGAATAGTAGAAAAACAAGCTTTTATAATAAAATTACTATTTTGACATAATAAATAAATTTTTTCTTTGAAATGTGTTACATGATGGTTATAAGTTTAAACCAAATGACACTATTTTATGCATAATGATTCTTGGAATTATATTTCATGGCTTGTTTGGTATGATGATCTGGATATAAACATATTGATCATAAAATGATTGTCAAAACATTTGAAACAAGAGGTTTTTAATAGTTATGAATTTGGAATTGGCAATTGGGCAACTAATATATGCATTGGAAACTCATGGATAACATTTGAGACAATTGCTTTTCACTATAAGATAGCAATATAAACAGGATAGTCTCAATAACCAAATCTATATGATTTGATATATGATGTGGATTATTGTAGTTTGCTTAGAATAGCCATAAGCCAAAATTGATGTCACAATCTTGATTACTTTGTGTTAATTGGTTATGTATATAATCTGATTCATGGTTTGTATAAATGATTTATCATTTATGGTTTTATTAAAAGTTTCAAATATAGTGAAAATTTTAAAATATATTTAGTTTGGAATTCATGAGTGATTCAAAGATTTTGTAAATATGAAAATTTTTAAAATGGCAAAATGAATGCGATTTGATCCATTTGGTGATGGAAATGGTTTTGTTCATCGTAACAAAGTTATTAATAGTATTCATGATGAAATAAATTCATATAAGTATTCATGAGTTGCCATGAAAGTCTGAAAAGTAGACTATAGAATCATGAGTTTATTAAAAGAAAAAATAAATTTAAGGGTGATTATATTTGACATCCTATTTTTTGATGTATAATCTCATATTGAATTTAAATAAAAGTTTTGAAACTTTTATGAGTAAGAAATATTAAAATATAGAATATATGCTAGTATTTTTCATTAAAGGTAAATTTGGAGATCATCTACTAAAAAGCAAAAAAAGCCAACTAATGAAAAGATAAATAAAATAGCAAATTGATTAAATATATATATATGATATCTTAATAATTGAATGGGATATTCTTTAATAAAAGAATGCATATTTGCACATGGTAGGGATGATAGTTTCTTATAAATTTTAAGAATAAAAAGAAATAAAAAAAATTGACATTATAGTATTGTAAGATTTTAGTATAATTATTAAAATGTCCTTAAATAGTGTAAAAGGATTAAAACTATTCATTCGGTTTATCTAATTATACTAGAAGTATAATAGTATTAAAGATGTATAAAAATATAAAAATGGAAGAGTTAAAATTTATTAGTATAGTTGTGGCCACAATTAATACCAACTATTTTTTAAAATGACAAAAATAAGACAACAATATCAAGAGCATATAAATGATATGTAAAATAGAAAATTTGGACATATTAGCCTATGATATATTAGAAGGTAATTATCATAAAAGAACATTTAATTCTAATATATTTAATTACTAGTACTACAAGAAGAATGGGTTTTAAACCCTTATTATTAGACATCGATAATGAGAATCTAACTTTAAATATGTAACCTTTAATTACAAAATTTAATGGGTAAAAATAAGTTATTAGTATGTGTCTATTAAATACTAGTAAAACCCATTCAAATTTTAAAAATTAGTGTAGTCCATTATGTGAAGAGGATGAGTTTTTTATATTATTAATGTAGTTTATAAGTTAAATGTCTAAAGTAATGGAGATATTATGAAAATTTTACCTATATAAATATAGAAATTGTGTCGTTTCAACAAGAAAAATTAAAATCTCTCATATAAATATTTATGAATAAAATAAGCACATAGTTAGTACTAAAACAGTTATAAACTTCTGATGGAAGAATAAGTAAGTATTATTCGTATTATATCTATAATTCTAACACAAGGAGTTGAAATTTAATTTTCAAACACCATCAATTTTGTTAGAATTCTAAGGTATATACGTTAATTGAAGATTTAAATCGAGAGATATTTTTTTATATTCATAATATTTATTTATGTGAAAAGTTAAAAATTAAGCATTAATATTCCAAACTGGTGGAATATATTAATAGTTTAGAATGTAGTATATCCTACATTAAATAGAAAGATTTAATTATTGGTAAATAAACTTAAATCATGTATTAATTTTATTTATATTTTGAATAATTATATTTGAACAGAAATAATTATTGTATGATAAATGATAATAACTATTTTAATATAAATAGATGATTTTTCATATAAGTCATGTTATATAAATGATAATAACCATTTGATATAAATGATAATAACCATTTGAATAAAAATTTATGTATATTTATTCATTATAAATATATTTTTTAGTATAATAATTTTTATTATTTTTAATTAAAAAATTTGAAATTTTATTATATCCTAAATATATAATTACTTTTAAAAAAAAATCTTCACACATCAAAAATAAATTTTTTTTCTATTATTCTATTCTCTTGTTTATTTTTTCTAACATTATATAGGATATTTGTTGTACTTACAAAGCTTTGCTGCTAGCAATTAACCATGATCACTTTATTGAGCTAAGCAGAGTTAAATTGGGAATCTCCAGCTCTACTTGATTAAAATAGTGGACCTTTAAAAAAAAAAAAAGAAAAATTGCGTGTTGATACAAGAATGATTGAAACCAAATTATCAATCAACATTTATCCTAGACGAAGTTCACTTCAATTGTAATACGTTATCATTATCTTTATATTCGAATCATTTCAAATATTTGTATCAATCACTATTATATAAATTCAAAGGGATTAAATACTTATTTGCCTATCGAATAATATCATTTTGACATATTACTTTGCAAGACAAATTACCTCATTACAAACTTCGTTATTTAAAATACTTAGGGATAAATACAAACTTTTTAAATGTTATTTTTTAAGGATGAATACATATGGGATTCAAATTACTTGGTTGATAATTAGTTTAGAGAAAAGAGATTTAAATTTGTGATTTTTATTAATTTTTTTTGCATTGATCAGCACATAGTATTAGCATGCTTGGTATGAGATGGATACTGAAGTTTTTTCGTAGGATAATGAAGTTTTTTTTGTGTGTGTGTGAAATCTTAAATCTTTACTTCTTTTTTTTTTTTTTAAATATCTTACTCAATAATTTAAACCAAAAAAATGAAATATGATTATAATATAATAATTATATATGATATGCTTTCTCATTAGGGTTGGCATCGGGTCGGGTTCGGGGCGGGTTTTGCTCGCCCCGAACCCGACCCGACTTAATGCTTAAAAAACCCGAATCCGACCTTACCCGAAATTTTTTTTAAATTTTTTTCATACCCGAACCCGACCCGACACTATATAAACAGTACCCGACCCGAAATTAATAAAATATTATTTTTTAAATATAAATATTTAAAAATATCATTATATAAATATATATATATAATTAAAAAATTATTTATATATATATCGGGTCGGGTAGGGTCGGGTTTGCCTAAAACTCGACTCGACCCCGACTTTGTCTTCATGCTACCCGATCCGACCTCCGATTTTTAAAAAAAAAAAAAACCGACCCTAAAAAATCGGGTCGGACTGAAACCCGTCGGGTACGAATTTTTTTGCCTTCCCTATTTCTCATACAATATTTGATTTTCGTCCACAATTTTTATAATTTTATTTTTGGATCCTTAATCTTTTAAAAATATCTTAAAATTGATCCATTCCATCCACCACTATTAAAATCTGATAAAATTTACCAACTTAGTATCACTTGGATGTTAACGTGGTATAAATCTTCTCCATGTCGATGTCCAAATGGTAAGAATAAGTGGATTCAAATATTTGGATATTTACATGGCAAAAACAGTGTATCCATTAAATTTTTTGAGTTGGTATTGAATTATGGAGTCATGTCATTTGCTCCGTCAATTTTATCTTAAATATTTGTATTCCTTGATATATTATATAATTATTTGATAAGTTCAAACGTGGCATCTACCAAAATCCAAATGTAATTTGATCACTATGCCACGATAGAAATACAATCTGACTAATAAAATATTTTGTGTAACAAAAAATTAGATTTAAACCATATATAAGGAATACATGATCCCGGACCTTTACTTTACCTATTGAAAAAAAATCTCTCATTAACCCAAAATTTTAATTGAATTACTTTAATCATAAAGAAAGTTGTTTCCTGCATATTGTATTGTTTCACACTAGTGAGCAAACTAACTCAAGCATCAAGTACAGATGGAACTATATATTGCACAAAAAATTTAGTACTAAAAAGAAATCTAGCTCAAGCGGAGTTACATATATTTGATTACGTTTGGTAAAATTATAAATATTGACATTAAATATTATATATTAAAAATGTTAAATTTGATTAAGTTTGATAAGATTTGTGAGCCTCTCAAGTAGGTATTAAATTACTTGAACTCAAATAAAAAAATAAATAAATTGAGGTTAAGATTAATTAATAATAATCGAATTGAATTTGAATTTTTTTGAGTCGAATTCGAATAGTTCTTGAGTTTTATGATTCTATTACACCCCTATTACACATACCAAAAGAAAAAAAAATTGTTTCCCAAAATTGAGTAAACCCACTCGACCATCAAACATATATGGAATTATATATTTTACAAAAGATTAAATTTAGTACTAAAAAGAATTATTGAGCGTCTAATACTCTAAACTCAGAATGTCCTTGAAGTGTAGTGCATGCTAGTTACTACAGGAAACCCAGCTAATATTTTATCACATCCTTAGCATTTCCGACAGCGTGACCTCAGCCGTAGAAGTAGCAAGCGGAGTTGGCACAGGAGAGTTTCGACAAATCGGGCAAGTAGGATGTAACCTCAACCAAGAATCAACGCACTGTAGATGAAAAATATGACCACAATCAGGTAACAAACGTAGCATATCTGTATCCTTATACTCACCTAAACATATAGAGCAACTCGAAGCTGATGATAACGAGTCAACTTTATGAAGCTTTGCTTGTGAATAAAGGAGTTTAGGGTAGCTGCTCAGAATCTCCTCGTCAAGGCCTTGTTCCATGGCCACCGATTCTTGGTCACCGGAGGTAGTGGTTGCATGTTGTGATGAAGGGTTGGTGCGGGTGCAGAAGTAGGTTGTGAGGGTTATCATAAAAAGAAGGGCAATGATAGCTGTGGAAAATCCAATTGTATATGCAAATCCACCAAGTGGTGGGGAGTCATTGGAATCCTCTGTTGTACTCATCTCTTATAAAAGGAGAATAAGAAAGAAACAAAAAGAAATTAGCATAAAGCATAAAGCTTAAAGCTTGCGGACATCAAAATGGGAGATATTTTAGTTAAAGAAGAGTTGAGAGGTGTTAGGCCGTGGAGATGTTAACTAAGGATGAAAGTATCTCCATCTGTTAACTAAGGATGAAAGTATCTTAACCTGAGAGAAAGTCAGAGGAATTGAGACAGGTGCTTGCTATTTATTGGGTAAATAATTTGTCAACGCCTTCTTTCATTATTCTTTTATCCTTTTGCTAACGCGAAAACCTTTACCCCACGCTTTACATAGGAGTATCTAATGGCGGCCAACCGTTTATTGGGCTCAGTGGCATGATGTTTGGAAACGGCACGAAAGGTACTGGGTTCAAGTGGCATGATGCTTGGAAACAGTAGTAGGGTAACAGGTTCCGATTTTCGTAATGTTCTCTACCAGCTAAAAGGTAAATTAAGTAGGTATAAGCGTGAATAGAAGCCAGTTTGAGCAGATTTAACCAATTGAAATAGATTGAATTTGGTCGATTCGATTCGATTTAATTAGTTTCAATTTTAGTCTATTAATATTGATGGTTTAATTGGTTAAGTTGGTCGATTTTTAATGAAAAAAATTGATAATTGAATCCATTGATTTAATCAATTCTTTAATAAGTTTTCATTCAATAGTATCATAACGTTTAAGTCTAGATAATTAGACAAAGAGTATGAACGTTATCAATTTTTTTTTTAATTAGATATAATTGACTACTTAAATGAATATATTCTTTTTTAAGATTATCCTAAACTTAAATTAAGAGTCACTAAAAAGAATAGATTTTGATATATATCTTCAAAACTAGTTTTGGGAGTCGATTATGTGTAACGAAGGTTTGAGCACCTTCATATTGTCCAAAATTAGTATTAAATTAGTCTTATATTATTTTCTTTAAATCTTAATTAAAAATGGTTTTTTATTAATTTTTTATTTAAATATTAAAAAAATCTTTAGGTTTTAAAAAAAATATTTCTCACCTTAAAAATATTCAAGATAAACTCGTTATTTACTTGAACGTGTTTCTGTGGACACCTGTAATTAACCTGCAAGATATTGTTTACTTTGATCCAAAAGTCTCACGATTTTATCCCACAAAAGATATCACACAAATTTAAGTTTAAGCTTTTACTTATATATTATAGCAGATCCTCAAAGCATCTCAATGTGAGATTAAGGCATTACAAACTCCTTTTGTTAAAGCTTGATGTCCTCGTCAAGCCCAACACAAAGAACATAGATCCACCAAATCATATCAAACGTTGGGCAAGCTCAACACAAAACACATACAAATCACAGGATCACACAAGACTTTGAAATTTTAGAGACGACTTCCACCGTGCAGCACTTAATTCCTATAGGATTTTAGAGATGGCTTCTACAGTGTAACTGTTAGTTTTTTAGGTAAGATGGTGATCCAAGAAAGGGGTGAATTAGATTTCTTCAAATTCTTTCTCCCAAAAAATGATTTCAATATAATTTAATGACAATTAAAACCAATATAAAAATATGATGTAAATAAAAATAAATTGATGAACTATAAGCAATTATAAACTATAATCAAAATTAAGATATAAGGATAGAGAAATCAAACACAAAGATTTATAAAGATTATGTCATTCTCCACAAGGCACCTACGTCCTCTCTCTCTTAATTGTCCAAACCAAAACTTTAATCTATTAATCTTGAATTGAAAATATAACCCTATTTTTTTCTTTCTAAGGCTTAAGATAGAAACCTTACACTCTCTACTTTCTCAGCTAAGTATTAACCTCTCAATCCCATAAATTCAAGAGGATACCTCACATATTGATTACAAAATCACTTAATAAAAATACAAATTTAAAATACCTCTAAAAATCTAAGTGTTTACCTAATGAAGTATAAAAAAATATAATGAATGAAGAACACAATATTACTTAGATACAACAAATAAAAAAGATATGAATTTAAGCTCTAATAACTCTTGATTTTTTGAGAGAATGAAAATATAACTTGTTAACTCTTGCTTTCTTGCTTTACTAACCTTCTTGGTGTGTTTGAGTACCCAATTTATAGAGAAATTAAAGAACTAGCCGTTAGGGAAGCTTGAGAGAAGAAAATGCATATTGGAAGCATGAAAAAGTAGGTATTGAAGTGATTTTGCCTAGACTCAATTAATCTTTTCCATGAGGGGAATAAGTGGTTCATGTTTTGGAACCAATTCAAGGCTTGAAAAAGCCTACCCGATCAATCTCTTCCTTAAAGGGATTGATTGTTCAAGGGAGTGATTTTCTTTTTGCAATCCTGGAGTTAAAATTCTATTTTGGGTAAAAAAACAATCGATCCTTTTTTGAGGGGATCGATCTTGTCCATCTAGTTGAATGTCTCTTGTTTTGCACTCCACTCACTAATTTGATCATATTTTAAGTTATACAAATTCAAATCACAAATCATTTGAATATTTAAAAATTAGACTTAAAGGGCTTTTTATCCATATAAAATTCATCACCTTCAAAGCTTGAATAGCTTGCAAGCTCCCCTGAGTAAACACCATAATATGAGGTGAAAGACCTCAAAAACCTAAGGTAAAACAAAGGAATGACGAATCACAAGAAATTTTGATTTCAATTTATTTTTCACTTAAACTAATATACGATGAAAGATCTTAGCCAGAAAAAGCCCAACTTCAATTTGATAAATTGAAGTCTGAGTTTCCCAAAGTCTTTAGCCACCTTTCCAATGTCTTAACTCAATCTCCTGGTTTGATTTTCTATCGTTGATTTTCTTGACAATATGTGAGATTTTTTAATTATATCTGGTATTTTTTTAATAAAATTCAGGTTAAAATTGGATAAAATTTCAAAAGAATAAGATTTAATCAATCCCTTAGCTTATAAGATCGATCCACTCTTTAAGCGAAAAGTTCATTATAGATATTGAGCTAAAAAGAATCGATCCTCTAGCAAAAAATACAACATTATTCAAAATAAATTGATTTTATCTATCCAAATTATCATGTTAGTAAAATCAATATCACGGTAGCAAAATCAATGACTATGTAAGCAAAATTAACAAAAAATAAATGACATCATTAGTAATCAGACCAACATACTCAAATTCAACTTGTACGAGAATGAAATTTTTGTCAATTATATTAAAGGGAATAAAGTTTAAATTAAATGTTAGTACAAAAACTATTAGCATAATTTGACCTTCACAATAAATTTTTTCTTTTCACAATAATTCTAAATTTTAAATAATGCTAAAACTAGCATTAATTCATAAATCGAATTAATTATTGTTATAATTTTGTGTGTAAAGAAGTAAATTTTTGTACACATTTTTAATCTAATATGGCTCAAGAGAGAGTTTGGAAATGACTTTTTTTTTTCTCCTCCAAATGATATGCTTTAGTAAAATGTCTAAGCAACGAGCCAGTATAATGTAATGTCGCCAACCGCTCTTTCATTCCAAAAAATCCAAATGTAATTTTATCATAGTGCGATGGTGGAAATACAATCCGACTAATAGAACATTTTGAGTAACCGAAAATGAGAATTTTTTTAAGCTTTAAAGACAATTAGATTTAAACCATAGATAAGGATAACTAGATCCCAAGACCTTTACTTTACCCATTGAAACAAAATCTCTCATTAACCAAAATTTGTAATTGAATTACTTTAGTCAAGAAGAAAATTGTTTCACGCTTACTGTATATACCAAAAGTAAACAAAAATTGTTTCACAATAATGAGCAAACTAAATCAAGCATCTAGCATACGTGGAACTATAAATTATTGACAGTGTCTAAAGATTTAAACTCAAAATATCCTTCAAGTCTAATGACTCATGCATGCTATTTACTAAAGGAAACCTTAGATTTGATCACACCCTGAGCATCGCCAACGGCGTGACCTCTGCCAGGGGAGTAGCAAGCGGAGTTGGGACCGGAGAGTTTCGACAAATCGGGCAAGTAGGATGTAGCCTCAGCCAGGAATCAACGCACTGTAGGTGAAAACTATGACCACAATCAGGCAACAAACGTAGCATATCTGTATCCTTATACTCACCTAAACATATGGAGCAACTAGAAGCTGATGATAACGAGTCAACTTTATAAAGCTTTGCTTGTGAATAAAGGAGTTTGGGGTAGCTGCTCAGAATCTCCTCGTCAAGGCCTTGTTCCATGGCCACCGATTCTTGCTCAGTGGAGGTAGGAGTGGTTGCATGTTGCGATGGAGAGTTGATGCGGGTACTGCAGAAGCAGATTGTGAGGGTTATTGTAAAAAGAAGGGCAAAGATAGCTGTGGAGAATCCAATTGCATATCCAAATCCACCCACTTGTGGAGAGTTATTGGAATCTGCTGTGCTATTCATCTCTTATAAAGGGACCTAAACCTTAAAGCTTGTGGACATGAAAATTGGGAGATATGTGAATGAAGAGTTGGAGAGATGAAGGTAGGAGAAAACATAAAGGAAAGGTGTTAGGCCGTGGAGATTTTAATCAAGGAAGAAAGTATCTTAAACTTGAGAGAAATTAAAGTCAGGAAGAGAGGAACTCAGACAGCTGCTTGTTATTTATTTGGGAAATGATTTGTCGCGTTCATTGATTGTCAACGCCTTCTTTTATTATTCTTTTTCTTATGGTTTTCCCAACGAGAAAACCTTTACCCCAAGCTTTAACTAGAAGTATCTGATGGCGTGTAACCCTTTTTTTTTTTTTAAAGGCAAGGAAAGAATTATTTTATTAAAAGAAGGAACTACGTGATAACAGCACAAAAAACAAAAACGCTTGAGACCAATACTACCAAGCTACAATATTGACACCTGTCAATGTTTGTTTCAATATTTTCGATTAATTTCCAAAATGATCGGTCCAATAATCAGAAAATACTTATTCTTAGATTTAAAAATTACTCTGCAAATTGGCATATTTGTTTCAATATTTTGAATGAACTTCCTATGTCAAAATGTAAGTTTTTTTTTTTTTTTTGTGAAATTTAAAATATAAGTTTTCGAGTGAATGATGTTGGTCAAATAATTTTTAAGGTAAAAATCAACTATTTTTCAAATAAAAATATGCAGGATTTTAGGTTTTGAAACAGAGATCAATTCCCTTATAAAAAGGATCAATCCATTCTAATAGATGGTCCCGGTGGCTGCGATTAGTTCATCCAGATGTTTATAGTCCAATGAATGTGAGGTCAAGGAATGAGGGCATCATATTTTGTCACATTCATAGATAACTATACATATTTTAGTCATGTCTACCTAATCTCCCATAAGTCAAAAGCGTTAGATTACTTTAGACATTACGTAACTTCGGTTAGAATCAATTAAACCAATGCTTAAGGGTTTAAGAACTGAGCAAAGTCACGAGAATCTATTTGAGCAATTTAAGAATTTCTATGATGAAAAGAGGATATTTAGGCAACAAAGAGTTCTTGGCTCTATGCAACAAAATCGTGCAGCAGAAAAGTGGAATCTTACCTTCCTGGACATGATTTGACAATGATGATGCAAGCAAATCTTACCATGTTCTTGACCGTGTACCATCTAAATCAAGATTTTCCACTCCATATGAGCTATGAAAGGACAAAATACCTTTGGTAATTTGCGACCTTAAGGCTCAGTTGGACATGTACACACAAAACTCACAAGGATTGGAAACTAGACCCTACAGGAAAAACTCTTTAGCTTTCGCTTGCCTGGTTGTTCAATTGATTACAGGTTTTTTACCTAATAAAAATTTAGAATAATTTTACTTAATAACTGATTTTGATGATCAATTTCTTTTTAAAAATGAACTGCTACGTGATCGAATTAACTGATTGTTCATTGATTTTAGATTTTGTAATTGAAGGAGGAAATTTCACATATCAAGATTACCCAAGTTGCGTTTTCTTAATTTTATATTCCTTTTTAGAGATCTTTTTCCTGTTCCTTAATTTCTATAATTTGATTCACTGGATCCTTGTAACCGGGTCCTTTTCATCAAATTATGGGTGACGTCTTGAGATTAATCAAGCGTATCAGTTTCATCTTCTCTTTGGTATTCAGGTGCCTGTTAAATCTTAATGTTATTTCACAACTGGCTGTGATGCTGACAGTGGTCTCAGTTTCCGGGTTGTTGGGTTAGGAACATTTTCGGAATAGTGACTTCTAACTTCCATGATAATTGCAATGTTTGTTCATTTTGCAACACATGAGACGTCAGGCATAAAAAAATTTGCTATTCCCTTTCAATGACAACAGCATTTAATTTTTTTGGTCATCCCTATCCAAGTATGATATGTTTTGCGCTGCAATAAAGTAAATTCAGAAGATGGTTTACTGAATTTATTTATTTGCTTTTATAAAAAGTCTGTGAGGATAAAAGAAAAAATTATAAATATTGAGATTTAAAATTTAAATTTATTAAATGTTATCTGTTAAAAATAATGATATAAATCAATTGAAATAAATTTGAAATTTTGAAATAATTTACTTTTATGATGTATAGAAGATTAAGTAACTATTTATTTATTTATTTTTTCATTTATGCAACCCATAAAACTGCACATATTCCCACAGCTTGTGTTCTTTAGGTGCCTAACAACATTGATATGGTTTAATAATTGCATAGAAAGATTTGAATACCAAGAGCATTCGATTAGGTCAGTTTTTTACTAAAATAAAAATTTTTAATTGCAAATGTGCAAAACAACGGCACTTGCTGCCTTAGGTCATTGACTTGGGCAATGTAATTGAATATCTATATCAGGTAGTGTGTTAACTACTATTCAACTTTTAAATGTTTTTTTTTTTTTTTTAATTTTCCTTTATTTTTCTATAGTCTGTGACGATGTTTAATGGAAACGCATGAAGGTGATGGCTAGGCTGTAAATATTTCTTATTAATTTTGTAATCCTTTAAATGATTATATATTTGTTGGTAGCAGATCAAAACAAAAATATTCCTTTCTATCTTACTCTTCTAAATTATTTTCTTATTGAGAGAAAAAAAAAAAGAGGCAATTTGTCTATGGTATTCAAGGGCAGGACATATTCCATATTGTTTTGTGTTATTGAAGCTTTGAGTTTCTGATTAATTCATGCTGCAATTGAAAAAAATCCAGACAATTGAAAAAGATGGAAGAAACTGAGATTTAATTATGTGAGTTTATGACTAAATACTGAAAAATGTAGTTTCATCCAAACTTTTTTAATTTGGGATACATTTACTCCCTATTGAACTCTTAAAATGAACTTTCATCATGTCAACTTCATCCAAGTTTTCTTTAATTTCTTCAGGGTTGACAAAAACAAATGATGACAAATTCATCTCACTTTCTCTGTCACCCATATTATTTATTTAAAAAAATAGAGAAGAAATTCACTTATACAAATATAAATGTTACATTCTTTTTTATTTTTGAATCATAATAGTTAACTGTAAGTGTTATAAATTTAAATTTAATAAAAAAAGGGTGTAACCTATATATATATATATATTTAAATCATTTTTTTTAAAGGAAAAACATTTCATTTAAGAAATAAAAGAACATTGAGTCTCAATAGCATTGTGTACTATAACTGGACAATCTTCAACCCATACCTATCCTCATGACTACGTAAAGCTTCTTTGGCCACTCCATGTGCTGCAGTGTTACCATTCCCTACGGTGTGGGATGCTCTGTAATCTTAAAACTATCCTAATTTTGCTCTTGCCTCTTCAATGATCACTCCTCTGGCGGAAAAATCAGGTTCCTTACTTTGTAGCTTCTTGATGATACACAGAGCGTCACCTTCAATGATTATTCTGGTTAGTCCCAAATCATGAGCTGCTCTTCCACTACAAGGGCATTATCAACATTTTTAATTTTGAAAGCACCCGCTCCTACAATCTCACCTACATGATTTCTGATGACTACAACCAAACCCCTTTGTTTTGTTGGTTGAGCCCAATGCTCCGTCAAAGTTCACCTTAAACTTGTCTTATGGTGGTGGCTAATAAGAATGTCAAGAACATATTAGAGAAAACGATTGAGACTTATAAAGATTAGTATAAAAAATTGCCGTTTGCTTTGCTTGCATTCAGAACATCAATCCGCACTTTTACTGGTGTAACTCTTTTTCCTTTGGTATATGGAATGGAAGCAAAGTAGCCTCTCAAAGTAGAAATTCCTTCTTTAAGGGTTTTGATGTAAATACAGTTGGAGGAAGTTGAATTGGTTCACAACCATTATGAACTGTTGAATTTGATTGAGGAAAAAAGGCTAACAACACTCAATCGTGGCTAGATGTACCAAAAGAGAATGATAGGGGCACATAATAAGAAGATGAAGTCATATGCTTTCATGAAGGAGAATTAGTTCTGAAGAGAATATTTCCCAATCAGTATGATTAAAGAGGAAAATGGACACCTAATTGGAAAGTTTCATGTGTGGTAAAAAAAGCATTCTTAGGTTGAGCTTTAATTCTAATAAAAATGGATAGAGATAAATTGTCAAATCCTGTAAACTTAAATGTTATCAAGAAAAACTATGCTTAAAAAAAGAAAAAAAAGAAAAAAAAAAGAGAAAAAAAAGGAGGATCCAGTTTGAAAATCCAAAAAAAGGCAATCTAGATCATAGGAAGAAATACCTAAGTTGAAAACTCAAAATAATGGCTTAGGTATAATAAGAAAATAGGAAGAAATTGAGCTTTAAGCTTGAAAGAAAATGGGTATAGTGTCATGATTCAGGATAAAGGAAATGAAAGACAGATAATTGATTTAGGATTGCCATCCAATGAGTCGGCATTACTCAAAGCCATTAATGAGATAGGATTTTTAGAAGAAGATCAAAAGTGAACGATTTGAATTCATCTTAATGTTCAGTATTTGGCAATTTTAGAAATGGTTTGTTATTACCATTTCATTTGTCTATTTTTCTCCTACATTTAATTATGCCTTCATTCCCTTCTTACCATACAGCTTTTAAATCAAATATTTAAAACTTAAATGAATACCTTGTATCATTTTCATTCAAACTTTTTTGTTCATCATTGATTGAAAAATGGCGTTGCATTTAATACAATATTATTGATATTGAATGATAATTCTCATAATCAAACTTGAAACATGCATAAAGAAGGTTTTAGGACAATCAAGATAAACAAACATGGCTCTAAAAAAAGAGAAGAAAAAAAAAAGGGAAGACTTAAAATGATACCAAATGATGGACATCAACTTGGATAGAAAAATGAATGATGATTGAACAAAGGGATAACAATGATGGAAAACCAGAAATGATGACTAATGAATGAGAAAAATAGAAAAGATGAATGATGAGGATAAAAGAAAACAAGAAAAAATGCTTTTGGCAGAGTTTCACAAGACAGCCACTAGAGATCGAG